ATGCCAGCGAAGTCGCATACATATACATAGGTGTTTACTAATTGAAATGCTTAAATGTAATACTTCTTCTTTTATTAAAAAACTCGAGCATCATACTTAAATAATGTAATAATATACAAGTATATCAACATAAGAGTTTTATTTCATTTTGGATGGATATCATATGGATGCCGTCGGAATACGAAATGTTAATAAGCGAGGCAGAGGATTGTTTGTAGAACAGGCTTTGTGCAAATGGCTGACCATGCTAATCTTAACCAAGAGTGCTTCTCTTATTTGAGCCGTTCAAAACGAAAAAGACAATAAATATAGACCGCTTTCATATATCACATCGATTCGCATTGATCAACTCATAAACGCGGTACACAATCTCACATTATTACACCGACGGCAAGTTATACTTCGACCATTATGGGGCGTAGGTGTCGGAATCGGTTGCCGTGGCAACGGCTGCCATGCGAAGGCTTTGAGTGGCGAATGCCAAATGTTCATTTCCATCCACCATCGTCTTCGGCCATGCAAGCCACCATTCTGGTCGTGAACAAATAGATTGAGAGAGTGCCAAACCAATTGAGAGCAGTGCGTTCTCTGCGCAAAGTACAAGCGCCGCAACATGCTCTTATCCTGTTTTACCGTTCCATTTACTCTTCGTGGACATGCCGTCTTTTTCTCGCACAGCGCAAAGGCGCTGCATCAACATTTCCCGCCAAATTTCTTACGCTTCTCTCTTAAATCAGATGAGGGGCCAGCTCGCTCTCTCTTACTGGAAAGTGGAACGATATTTGGAACGGAAGCGTAAGTTATGACATTTCAACACCACATACAAATTTTTTCAAATGATTTTCCTTTAGATAGTAGATGTTTCGTTAGAAATTTAATGTGACTGCCAAATGCTTTATAATTTCTGCAAATAACGCACTAAATAGCGCACTAAATTGCAACGTTGCTTTATTTTGAATATAAATAGTGTAAATGGCTTTTCGGGAATGGACTGAATACCGATTGTATTTGTTGAAATATACGCAGAACTTACCAATTCAAAGATTCTTCGCAATAGAATAAATACAAATGGGCAGCGATAATAAGTAGAACGTTCCCTTTAAAATCAATATATTTGGCAGCTAATACTCAAGGAATGATTTAATAAAGAGATGTTCTTCTTACACACTTATATTCATCCAATTTGATTCATAAGAATAATGCAGAAATAAGACATAGTCTATGTGATATATTCACATTGAATTTGCCAAACAGAACTTTTCAATTTCGCTGCACTTTAAGGTGATCAATAGAATGCAACATTCAATATACGATTCAATACGAATATCACTTACAAAAATACTTTGGCATATCAGAAGGGGTGGGGCTTCTTCTTCTTGTTCTGTCTTCAAGACGATGCCATACGTACGTCTGTCTGAAGAAGAAGAATGAGAAGACTCGACAGCGCACTTTTTGGGCCACTGTCAGGGCAAGGCCACGAATGTGCATTTGAGGAGTGGCATGTCTCAATGGAGACAATGGTTCTATAGGTAGGTAGGTATTGAATAATACCATATCCAATTAATTGTTTCAGTATTGTGGCTTACAATCGAATATAAGCAACTATTATTATATTCAATTAATTATCGAAACATGAATGTTATTTAAAATCTACACTTTTAATTTATTATTAAACCAAACTAAATTTTAATATGGACTTTCCTCGTTTTTTTTAAAATTAGTTACTCATTAAATATATAAAATTTTATATCTTGCATACTTAATTCAAAGGTTAAGCGAGTATAATTAGTGAAAACAATCTAATGTCATAGAAATAGCCACAAAAAATAATTGGGAAAATGTTTAATAATTAAAACGAATCTTTTTCGTGAGTGAGTGGCTGAGTGGTCCGAGTGGCCGCGTCAATACTGTTCGAAACTTTCGATACAGTTTGGAAAATGAACACTCCATTACCGGAAACCAGCACGCTACTTCCCATTGGAACCTGCACCTCTAAGCCAACCACCTAGCAATCAAGCCAAGTGAGCCATGTGAGCCACCGCAGACCTTCACATTCCTACACATCGCAGTCGTTCCGTTCAAGGTGGGTGTTGTTGTTGTTGTTGAATCTGTCAATACGCTGACTGCGCATATCGATTTCAATTCAAACCCGATACATGCGCTCAGCACGGCGAACAGAAATAATTAAGTTCTCAAAAGATAAAAATCATGTTAGCCGCAGATCAATTAGTAGATTTTTCAAACTAAGCGAATATTTCATCTTTCGAAGCCGCTGGCGATGCACCCTACACCCTCCCAGCCGCCTCGCCACTAACCGACGTACTCGTACACACATTCCCAGAGAATGCATAAATTTACATATACTCGTAAGAATGTCTGAAACTACTTTTGAAAGCTGTTGAAATGCTGCAGCGCAATGCAGGCAGGCCATCGCGTATCAGGCTCGACCAAAGAACGAGACCAGAGACCTTCCTTGCTGGCACCTGCCTGCCTACAGGGATGTAGCGGACGGAGATCGAATACTGGTACATATCCCAGACGGGGGCAGACTTAGACTGCATCGGACTCCGCGGTCAGGCTGGATTGACTTCGGTTGAGTTAGGTGGGGGGGACTCGACGGCTCTGTGACGGTACATGTGCATGCGCAGCCGTCAGTAACTCATTTATCGCTTAACTGGATTGAACGGCATACCCTGGCTCTGGGTATTTCATTGCGTTTTTACTTCCAGACCGAATTCGCATGCACTCGAACTTGTGCTGCGAAGGCTTGTTCGTATTGACCAAGCCGGCTGGATGGTTGCCGTTTCGACCACAACTCGATTTCTGGCCATTGCGTGACACGAAGGCTGTGAGCGCGGTACGCATGCGCGCGCTTGCGAACGCAATGCGCAAGCAAAACGGTGACAAGCAACTACCAATAACAAAAACAACAACAGCAGCAACAGCGACAAAAAAGGAAAAAATGTGAAACAAGAATCAAAACAAAGTGTTCGATGTTTCCGTTTCAAATTCTGTGGAACAAGACAACTGCGCATGCGCAAAGGCAACGGACCAGGGTCGATTCATGCCGACCAAAGAGCAGGGTCCCGAAACACCATACAAAGACCAGCTCTTATGTGCCTGACCACTCAGCCAAGGTAGAGTTATGAGATCGGATAGTTACTGGCTGCGGGGCGAGTAGAAACCTGGCCAGCTAAAAGCCAGACAGTGGACGCAGGACTCGCACAATTGACGTGCAAACAATTGTTCTGGCGGTTTGTTTGCGGCCCAAAAAGTTCGGCTTTTTAGTTTAATCGGCGCAAAATATGGCACACAGTGGTCTTAGTAGTGTTTAGCCACATATTAGGAAACCAAACAAACTGCTTAAATAAAATGGTTAAATACGGAGTGAAATGTGGGTTGCTATAACAAAAAGTTATGCTCATACATAGTTATTTGTAAATAAATATTCCTAACAAAAAATGATGATAGAAAGGATTATACAAGTATATATGGTTTTTCGGAATTCTGCCAACTCCAATAATTTTTTATTACATCTTCAATTGTTGTTTTGGCCCTCAATTTTACTGTTTTTTTTTTTCAGGTTTAAAAACGGTTGTCTTTTCTAAGGATTTCGTTTCCACAGAATTTGTATAAACGAAGAGTATCCTACCTGCTCAGTACCTGTTCTGGGCTGTGCTGTAGGTGATTGAATCACGCATGAGTTTTACTATATTGGTATTTGATTCGATAGCATAAAATATTCGATGCTTAATCGAATTGTAGTCCCAATCCGATAAGTGCAGTAAAAGCTCTGGTAAACAAAGTATCGGCGGTGAATCAGTTCAAATGTATATAAGAAGTTAGCAGCAAATGTTCCTAACTTTTATAAAAGTCTTGTAAATTCCAAATATTTAATGAATACTAATCAATTTGCCCCACTGGTTGTGCCTGGGTTTCCTGACTACGGCCACTTCGCTGCCTTCTCGCGCGATTGTGCCACAGATAAAGGCTCTTGCGCATTACGAGTTCAACTAGTCAGTCCCGGTTGCATGCCCAGCTCTAGCTCCAGGTAGCTCCAGCTCGCCGAGCTAAGGTACTCGTAGCAGCAAGAACAAGCGGAAAATGTGCAGCAGAATTAACAATTCATTTTATTGTTAAGGGTCCGACTGGCCGGCTCATCTGAGTGTCCGTTTGGCGGCCTAACAAGACTTGTCTACAGATCCCATGTAGCCCCTTTGGCTCTTGCAGCCGCGCACTCGCTCCCCCACGTCTAGACTCTGTGCCCAGGGGCCGCAGAATCATTGTTAATAATGCGATAATTTCGTTTTCATTCAAAGCAAATAGAATTGCTTTGCCTGCGTTTGCAGTTGTGGCTGCAGTCGGCTACCGGATTACTTGTTGCTGGTCCCATCATGTCGTGTTGCTGCAACATGTTGCCGAAGACAAGTGGGGATGCAGCTGCAGCTCGGCCCCTGGTTGTTGGTGCATGCGCAAAATTTAAATTATGTTGTTTTGTCGCATGTTTTTGGATGCTTGTTTTCTCTCATTGCTTTTTGGTTGCTTCTCAGTGCGCTTTGTGGTCCTTGTCGGTTGTTGCCGAACGTTGTTCAGGTACATGTTGTTGTTGTTGCTGCTGCTGTTGCTGTTGCTGTTAAAGGTTTTAGACATTATCAATGAATAAATGAAAATGTCTTTTGTCGAGCGAAAATAGTTGTTGCCTTTGCCGTGGCTGGCATGCAATTTTAAACATCTTCTTTAGGCCCGAAAGCGTTTCAAGTCGCTGCTTTATGTCACACCCAACTGTCATTTGTATTTTGAGTGTGCGGCCAGCGTCGGGCAGGGCGAGACCCAGTCGCCGATGTTGGCGACGTGTCCAATTTGCATAAAATCACAGGAAGCACTTAGGATTAATAGGTGCGGCTGGGAATGTTCCCCTTTCGCTTTGGGATAAGCATGCGCTCACTTCAATGAACATGGGTCAAGTTCAATTGCTGCAATTTGATCGACAATTTGCTTACCTTTTTCTGTTGAATGTTATCCTAGTGTTTGGTTATCCAGAAATGCCCCAGCAATGTGCTTATCCAAATTCCAAGATGACAATATGAATTTCTGAAATGATGCAAAAGGAGACCATTGTTAGGTCTTTTTCCATAACATTCCACAGATAGTTGTTCAAATATTTGTAAGCCGATCCGTCATCGTAGTAGAAGTTACAATCAATCTTTCTTTGAATACTCTTCACCTCAAAAGCCATTCTAGATGCCTACGGGACTTCTCTTCCTAAAAAGACAATAGCTTGCCTGCTGCTTTTCCTTAAATGATCTTAAACAACTGTTTATTATTAGATACTATTTTTTTTAGATTTTTGTGTGTTTGTTTTTTATATTTATATAAATTGAATGAATAACGTATGCACACATAAATATACCATATGCCGACCGAAAATACATACATATGTGAGGTCACAACGATCGACGAAATGTGCAAAGTTAAAATGTTGAAAAATGTCCAACTAACATATTTTCGGGGAAACAGAGTGTATAACAAGCTTGTTCGCTTTACACCACACAAATGAACAAAATGTCGCACAACTTTAAAATATATAGCACCATGTTGACGATTTATACTTACGAGTGTTACTCGAATCAATGTCGAGTTTAAATTAAAAAACGCTAGCCTTCGCTGCTTTCGCCACTGCATGGACTGTTGTCTATCAAATTATTCACTAAGATTTTATTTAGGGAACATTTTCTACTGTATGTGATTTAAGTTCTTCAAGTAATCTGGCTTACAAACTTATTTTAAAGAAGATGTGCAAAGATGCCAAGAGCAAACGTCAAATAGTCCACGCCACCTAGCGGCAATATATTAAAATAACGATATGTGTTTGTCCCATGCTTTTTATATAGAGCAAGGGAATGCGCCAACATTAGGCATTTGCAGAATTATTTGATCGGAAGAATAAGAAAAGTCCAAATCGACATGCACCGAAGCTCCTTTTTGATCTGCACAGGTAATATTTCGAGTCAGGTATGTAGCTCAAAAAATTAGATAGTTGTTGTTGTAAAGCACAGTGAAGGATATATCACAATAAATTACTTCTTGATGGGGTAATAAACTCAGCGACCCGGTATTTATTTAAAAGTCTGCTTTATTCTGTTACCACTTTTTAGTCCAGTACTCAGATCGGAAAATATATATAGTTACGGATTTAAAACTGTAGTTTGTGTGGTTATAGTAGGTTAGTGTTATGGAACGAAGGTATATTTTTAAAAATGTTTGAATTAGTGTAAACATAGCTGTTCTCGAAACACTGCAAGTTTCGAAACTCTTTAGAGTACAGTAGAAACTATCCGGAGGTTTCCAAGAGCAAGAGCAGGAACGTGGTTCCCGCCAACTGAACAATCAAATTGTCCCACCACATACTGTAAGCCCCAGCAATACTAACAAATGAAAGCCAACGATGGTGACATTGACATCGCGTTTTATCTCTACAATTATTTCGATATCCGTAAAAGACAAAAAAAAATAAGCTCAGTGCGATCTTTTGACACTTTCCCACCTTTTAATGTCAGTACAGAGCGCAAATATGGAACCACGATCATTGCTTGGCTCCTGTCAGGCCGCTGCTGTCATATCCTTTTGCGGCAAGCTGCGAACAAGGTGATAGCGCGGCCACGAAACTGGAAATTTGAGCGCACGTTTCATTATTGTCGCATTATTGTTGCTTGTTTGTTGGCCGTTTCCGCACTCCTTCGCCATCGCAGCCCGGGTTCTTGGGTCTTTTGTAAGACTCCCTCGTTAAACAGATTATTTTCACACCCGAGTGTCGTGGACAGCCGCCGAATAGCAGAAGCTGCATCAGACTGTGCCGCTTGCCACTTTAGAAGTTGCAAGTTGCAGGCGTTAATAATGCGATTTCAATGCAGTCAGAGGCCAAATTTAATGCCGATTCTTTCTTTTGCATCGCAGTATGAAGTAGAAAAAAGTGCAAAGTGCTTGGGCATATGAATGGAGGAGTGACATATGTATGGTCCTGGTTTGGACACAGAACTCGTCCCGAACACCAACAATGGGCTGGCAGCTGGCAGCGAGCTTATTCTCACCTCAGTCGCTGTTAATTGCAAACAGCCTTCTCTTCTGCACACAATTGTCTTCAGATCTCCTTCTAAGCCCCGATGCAGCAGAGTAAGAATCAAGCACTGCAGTCTGCTCCACGCTTCCCATTAGAAGGAGCATTTGGGAATAGTTTGGTTCTAATGCGACCAGTGAAATATATTGAAATGGAATTTGTAATTACAAATTTCCTTCGTTGTTGGTTGAAAAACATTCGAGAGCGAATTCAGAATTCTAATTCGTATATCAGGTTCCCAAAAGAAGAAGTGATAGACACTAGATCAGAACTAAAAAGATTTCCAGTTTTGTATTCAAACTTCGATTGGACACTGCTCTATTCGAATGCTGAATAATATGAAATATACTGGTATTTGCCAAAGCATGTATATACAACAAAAGCAAAACAGTCTGAATTGTTCGGAATTTTTCAAAGGGGAAAAGAGCTAAACGAATGGAAAATTATGATTGTATAGTATAGTTGGTTATCGAAAAATAGTCAACCCTTAAGCATAAAATATGAAATCCCTAAATTTTTATTGTAAATGCTCTTAAGTTCTAGAAAGTGCACTATTTATTAGTTTTATACCATGTTTGACGATATAAGTATTATGCAGAAGGAATATTCTCCGCACAAATTATTCATCAAAGCAATCTAGCCATGTCAGCATTTACGAAAACATTGATTTTGGAACAGCTGAATCCATATTTACCAAACCTTAGATGAAAACAGGGTCTTTATTGTTTCCTAATCCCTAATCCCCTCCATTCCTCTGCTGCAGGGCCATAAGACCTTGATCCTTCATATCGGGAAAAGCGATGCATTCTAGGAGAGCATCTAAGGACCTCCGAGGTACCATCAGCCTACCTACCATGCCTAATAGGCTAAAAACATACTGGCTTTGGTGTACCCCACCGCTTTAAGTACTATACCTCTAGGCGCATCCATTTGCATATTTTGGCACATGGCGTGCTTTCGTTTTTGTGATGGCTTCCTTGACCAAATTTATTTGTGTTGCGCAATTGCCGCACCAGCTCGGCGCACTGGCGAAATGATGAGTCGATCCGCCCGTCGACCACACGACCGACAGGCAGTCTGACAGATTTTCAAGCACGCGTCCACTGAACATCATTAAATATATTTGTCGGAGCTTATGCCCGGAGTCATAAAAAACGTCGCAGTCGTAAAATTAAAGCGAAAATAGATTTTGGCGCTTAAGTCTCGCGTTGTGCTCAAAATTCATAATTGATTGGTGGGGATTGGGCGCGCCGCAGCGCTTCTACGATTGCACGACAACGCCGTCTCGTGGGTGGCCCGTGGGGCTGGCGTGCTTTTGATTTATGCACAACGGCGTCTAATGAGTGATTTGCATTCACTGTTGCGAGTTTGAAAAATTTGCAGTGTTTAAAAATAAATATAACCCTGTCCGAATAAATGTTTTCGAGCGAATCGTATTTGGATGGTGTTTGTTAGGCTGGTGGAATGTGGATTTTGTTAGATTTAGTAATGCGCACGTTTGGGAAGCCACTGGAATTTCAATATGTTTGCAGAGACGGCTCTAAGCGCCCTCTAGCGGCAGATGCTTCGACTAGGGCGATTGCTATGTTTTTGGAAGAAGTTGTGTCCTGCGCATGTGCCGTGGGGAGGACACGCGCTCGGTTTGTGCATCGACTCAACAGTTTTGGATGCGCTGACGAAACACTAAAAGGATACGAAGGATTACGCATGATTCTGAATATGACCACACCGAGTAAATGGCGCTGCTAGAATTTCCCAACCTTACTTTCTGCTAACACCTTAGAAGGACATTTATGTGCTTTTCTGATGCACCACCTCTCCACGACTGTTAACGATTTTCAATTGCTGCTGTAATTTATGGATTGTCAACTAAAAAAAGGATGTAAAGCTAGAGTCTTAAATACCCTGAAATTCCACACACTTTATCCGCCTACTGTGTGTTTAATACATTCGCACTTCAACTGTTATACCCTTTAGCCGTTGGGTACAGGGTACATTTGGTGTTTAGGGAGAATAGCGAGGGTCCTCTTGCCACAATTGAAATTTCTACTGAAATGAAATCTCTATTCAAATAATATCAGTACATAATAAAGAGCAAAACTACGAACTGATTTCGTGGTAGCACAATCCGATCTGGGCCGTGCAAAACGCAACCTTACATTAACCAAAATATTCATATACACTATGCAGTATGGAAAAAACAAATTCTATTCGTATATATGTTTGCGCTTTGGCCTCACAAAACGTTCGAGTATGTGGTTTTGCGTGCGGATATGGATTCAGACCCCACACAGAAATCAGATATACAAGTAGCACAAACACAAGTAACGCGTCGAAAAAGGTGAAGCAATAAAACTTAACTTCCTTTTAATTTAATGGCTGCGCCGACACAAAATAGCAGCATTCACCGCCAACCATATAGTAAGTCTCGGGCACTTGCGGTGGGGAGGCGGGCGGGTGGGCAAGGAGCCCCGGACTGGCAAACCGGCCTGTGCTACGCATCATGAGCTTTTCGCTCACTCCGCTTCGTCCGAACTTGAGTGAAGAGTTTGGTAACAAGATTTGCATTTTGATGAATTGCAGGCGAAGAACGAGCGAAGAAGATGTTCGTCAACTGTTGGACCGACTGACACTTCGCCGAACCGCTGAGTTGTAGTTGTAGTCCGGCGAATGGCTGGTACCGAAACCTGTAAGTCATTTTAGTGACATTATCTTCAACGTTGACCGTGGCGAGCATAGGAGTCCGGCGGAGAGGGGCCCACACTGACAACGTGTAAACTTTTTCGTGGCATTTTATGTGACTTGAAATTTAAATTAATTAATTCTGCTTTTCAGGTTTCGTCGCTGTTGTACGAGCATGTTGTCAAACCGTCGGCCAAGTTGCTTTGTTAATTATTTTTCATTTTGCAAAAAAAAACAATAAACAAAAAAAACTGTTGCTCGTCGCTTTGTTTGAATTATAGTACAAACAAATTAA